AAACAGAAGAGACAAGAAGTGAACCAAAGAAGGCATTGAATGGCAATAAAGCGAAGACAACAACAAAAGGGAGACATAAAAACTTAAAGAAGAGAAAAAGTGATGAATCGGACGATAATTCTGACCACAAATGGGAACAGACTTTAAGTGATGAAGAAATGGATGACAAAAGCGTTCAGAAAAAGAGAAAATACTTTAAAAGCGGAAAAAGTGGTGAAAACTCGATGACAACACCACTGAAGAGGAAATATAAAGACAGAACGCGTGACGCGAAGGGAAAGCCCTTCAGATCTAAACATTTTATGTGTGAATACATTGGATGTGAGAAAACGTTTGGCGAAAGTGAAAAACTTTTGGCACACATTCGGGTCAGACATACAATGGAGCGGCCGTTCGGGTGTGACGTCTGCCACAAGACATTCCCTACGGAGAGGTGTCTTCGGGAGCACAAGAAGATACATACGGAGGACAACCGACAGTTCCGGTGCTCTTGGGTTGGCTGTGACTCCGCTTTTCGCACAAAACAGATTCTCGTCGATCACATCAAATCACACGAACAGCTGCGAGAGTACGGGTGCGATGAATGTGACCTACGATTTAATAACAAGAAAGATCTGCATAAACATAAGGTCAGGCATTCAGACGCACGCCCCTATGTGTGTGATTGGCCCGCGTGTGAGGCCGCGTATAAAGACCTGTCGCAGATTATGCGCCACAAAGAGACACATCTGGCAGTGAAAAAGTATGTCTGCGATAGAGAGGGTTGTGGTAAAGGGTTTGTCACTAAAAAATATTTATATCAACACAAACGCCAACACACTCTGCCATTTGTGTGCAGTTGGCCCGCATGTGACCGACGCTACGGCTCCAAAGACAAGCTCACGGACCACATGAACTCACATCAGGGCCTACGAGTGGTCGAGTGTCCGGTCGAGGGTTGCGATAAGACATTCACATCCAAACCCTGTGCGCGACAACACTTAAGACAAGTCCACAAATATAAGACCACTGAAGGACTCATACCACTAAATAAATTAATTTTATAAATGTTTTTTTTTGTTGTAAATATTATTATTTATTAATAATTATTATTAAATAACAGTTTAATTAACGTTTAATTTAAAGTAAAATAAAAAATTTTCATTTTCTACCTAAAAGTTTTTATACCGTATTTTACACGTTATTAATGAATGGTTTGTTATGAGAGATCTGTTGACAAAACACAGACTTTGACTCAATTTAGTCCACAATTGAATTGAATTTGAGTTTAAATACAATTGAAATCACAATTAAATTATAGTTTTTGTGATTAAAATAATGCCTAAAATAGGAGTGAATGATGTGTTGGAAGAGCTCTGGACTGAAAACACAAGACTTTTATATGAATTGAAAAGTTGTCACAAAATAATGGATTTGTTTGAAAAGTACAGACAATTCGTGATTAGTTTGAATGCAAACTGTATTTGTCCTCAAAATAGTGGACACAAACACACGTGGAATCAATTGACACACATTTACCACACTTTCACACATGATATCAAGTCATTCAACACAACACTCGACGGACAGCTAAACAGTGAAAACAATCACTTAATCCAAAGACTGACACAAGAATCACATCCAAGAAGTGGAGCAAAGAAGACAAGGAAACTGAAAGACAATAACCCGAAGACAACGACAACAACACCGAAGAGAAGATATAATAAGCAAAAGAAGACAATAAGCGAAGAATTTAACACTGATTCCGATCACAATTGGGACACAATATCAGCGATGAAGAGAGAAGTGGTGGACAACACCGACGAGACAATGATTAACAGTAAACCTGAGAAGTGTGGCGGCAGTGATGGCACCACTCGTTATCGCTGCCATTGGGAGGGCTGTGACAAGAGTTTCACCCAAAAGCCTAATCTCGTCGGACATATCCGGTCGACGCACACAAAGGAGAGGCCCTTCCGGTGCGAAGAGTGCGGCAAACGGTTCACAACCGAAACGATACTCAAACTCCACGACCGGACGCATCAGTCGGTGAAGCGCTATAAGTGCGGACACAACGGCTGCGCGTTTGAGACCAATACTCCCAATACACTCAAGTGTCACCGTTTGCGGCACTCGACAGCTCCGGCGCCCTATCGGTGCCAAATCGATGGCTGCGGTCGTGAGTTCTTCTACCGACACGTTATGGTCCGACACCAGCGCTCGAAGGCTCACAACCCGGAAGCGGAGGCGCGAGCGCTGGCCCTGAAGTACGCGTGCGAATGGCCCGGATGTGGGAAACGCGTTCATTCCAGGGATGTATTGGTAGCTCACGTGCGGCTCAGACACACCAATGAGAAGCCGTTTAAGTGCGACGAGT